TTGTAAATGAAAAATATTTTTGTAACTTCTGTTGATATTTCTGTTCTTTTATATGTAATCTTCCTTTTTATGCTTTCAAATGTTTAAAACAACAACAACAAAAAAAAGAAGAAGGAGAAACAAAACAAAGCGCAACAAAGAAGGCAAAACAAAAAAAGAAAAGGAAAAAAAAAACGATGAAAAACTTAATGATTAAGCATAAGACTTATAGCTGTCCAACAATAAACCATTATTTCTGTCTTTTATCAATAATAACTGTTTTTGAAATTTACAAAATTGTAACAACCATAAAACTTTCTTTAACAAGCTGTTTTGTCTCCTTTTTTTTTGCCAATTTTCACCCCTTTCTTTGCCCTCTCAAACAGAATTTCACTAAGCAGTTAAAGGATTATTAAATAATAAAAACTGTTAAACAATCATATATCATTTTTTTTTTTTTTATCAAAGACTGTGTCTAATTGAACTAAAACAAAATTAAACGTTACAATTGCATTTGAAAAAAGATACATACATCAAAGTAAAAATGTGGAATAGCAGCATTCCAGTTAAACGTGTCAAATACTGTACCAAAACGTTCTCCAAAAACTTGTAATTAACGAAAAAAAATTGTAGAAATAACTGCTTATTTTAAATCTCATCAAGTTTGCCAACAACTGATATTATATCTGTACTGTTATCCTCTCCTATCCATTCACCTATATCAGTACAGGCTACTTCCAAAACGATTCCACAGGTAACAAATATCATTCATCTTACCTGCATCACCAATTCAATGATGCTCATAGTTAAAATTACTTCATTACCATTCATATTTATTACAGAACCCAGTGATATTTTATGCTCAAACTCCTTTGTTTCAAGTTTGTTTAATCCTAATTTCACTCTTACTGTTTAGACTGATCTACAAGTCCCGCCATCATTGCCTCTGCTCCACCACTTAAATGCATCTAAACTTTGAACGTCCTACCAACTATTACTCTTTTGATTACTCCTTTTCCAAAATCCAATCAGCGCAGTGTTACCAAAAACTAAATGCAATACATCTTACGGTAGAAGTTTAAATTACTAGAAGCAGAGAAACCAACAGTGCACTAGAAGCACACGCTTTCAGCTTCAATTCAACAAAAAAAAAAAAAA